AGTACCCCATTTCCAACGTAAAATTGATTGCGGTGTATATGTGGGTAGCAATAGTTCAAAGAGAACAATAACATATTGTAAGTTGGGGGTGAGTCTCAAGAGTTACACTAAGCCCTTCAAAATTCCAGCCAAGATTAGAACATAAATTTGTGTATGATAATTTTAAAACCTCTAGGGATTTTAACACCACAACTTCTATTGGGAGGGAATTCCATGGTGTAATGACTGTGGGAACGACGAAGAACTTGCGCAAACAAAGCGGAGTAGACTGGGTTTCCTTGGCAAAGTATTGTACACTTAACGGCGTTGAACTACAGAAGCGGACGATCTGACCAGTCCTGCAACCAATTTGGTTTTATCTATATGCTAGTTTCTTCGGCAGGGTTCCTAATTTAACTTCAGCTATGCATGCCGTTGGCAAATGTTGCTGCTGTACAGTCTACATTTCTGACACGATCGTCCGCCCACATGAGGAACAGGATGGACCCTAGTACTGAACCCTCGGGAACGGAACTCTCGACCCCTCCTGGCGGATGCCCACAATTTGACGCCAACCCAGGAGAAATTTTTTGGTCTATTTGAGAAAGTGACGTGTGATTCCTGTTTGTTTTAGATTTCACAGTAGTGTTTGGTGCGTCAGAGTGACGAAGACCTTTTCAAGGACAGTGAATGTGATTTAACCTGCGTTCCTTCCTCGAGACCTCGAGCCCAGCTTTAGAAAGATTACAACAAACATATCCTGCTGGATGCTCCTTTTTGTAACCTGTGTTGGCAGTTTGAGCATGGGTTGGGAGCCTCTGGGAATTGCATCAATTCGCTGCTAATAATCCTATCCATAACCGTGCTGGTGATACGCGTCAACCTTATGAGCTCTTGATTTTCAAAGAATCCCGGCTACATTTGTGTGTGAGGCGTTTTGTGCGGCAACTTTCAATCGACAAGGAATAATCCCGTGGCAAGGGAATTTTTTAGGATGAATGACACAGCTACAAAAATTTCCCTGGCAAGTTTGTAGCATCTCGTGATCATCGATTGGCCTTTGAGACAGAACTAGTCAAGAGAGCGGCTAAAAACCCAAAAAAATATTTTCTTACGTGAATAAGGGAAAATTCATTCGAGATCCAATTCCTTGCCTGAAAGATAACCAGGGAAGCAAGTTTACCGATAACTCAGATAAGGCGAACCTCTTGTCCACTTTGGTTATGTATGTATATACCGAGGAGCCGCCTTTTAACGAGGATGTACAGCGATATATTTTCCAAGCGGTGGATGCAATTAGTACGGTATCGTTCGCAACAGACACAGTAAGAAAAATTCTGAGACGACTACGGCCCACTAAATCGCCTGGTCCGGATGGATTATCAGCGAAAGGTCTGAATGAGCACGCAGAACAACTGGCCTTCCCACTTTCCAAGATCTTCGAAAGTTCGATCGAGAAGAGAGCTGTGCCTACTGGCTGGAAGCTGGCCAACATAACCCCTATTTATACAGGCGGAAAGAGAACGTCGCCTAATAGCCTTAGACCAGTTAGTCTGAAAAGCATTTGTTACAAACTAATGGAGAAAGTAATCAAAACGGAACTAATGAGACACTTTGAGGAGAACAACTTGCTAAACGCAGCGCAACATGGATTCCGAAGTGGCCGATCTTGTCTCACTGACCTTATAACATCCACGAAAAGCTGGACGAATTCTTTGGAAATGAATTCGTCGGTCGACGCGATCTACATTGATTTCAGCAAGGCATTCGACAAGGTTCCACAGAGACGACTAATATCAAAGCTGCATCAAATGGATGTGACTAAAATTTACTGAAATGGTTAGCCAACTTTCTTACAGACAGACGTTAGCGTGTTTGTATTGGAGACACCAAAAGAGAATAGAAAACTATTTCCAGTGGTGTTCCGCAGGGAAGCGTTCTGGGTCCCATTCTATTTCTGGTATATGTGAACG